AAAAAAAAAAAGTTGCATAACCAAATGGCACAACATGTGTGTGCATCTTTGTCATTAATACAATCCTTTAGAGAGGTTCCAAGTTACATATGGTTTATTCTTGTTGCCTGAGTTATGTTAAATTGTGAGAAAACTGACAGTAGGTTTATCTATTTCATCTAAGGCATATAGGTACGACCTAATTGAAAAAACAGCCTACAACTCATGAGGCTTATTACTGATCAAGCAAAAGCTGGATAAAACTGAATTAAAGAGAAAATACATTAAAACATGCTAATACAGTAGAGCTGCATTCTGTTTTTTAATAGTTACACACTGAACCTCTGTATAAATGCCTTTAATAAGTGTCCACTTCACTCAGTCATTGCATTAGATCTACTCCCAGCTAACAAAACTCACCTTCCTTTTGGCTGCCTGCAGCTGACACATTCTGCTGGGATAGCATGGTCTGGTTGTAGAGGCTAGGGAGGGTGGCGGCGGCGTACTGTTGAATGCCAGAGTAGGCCTGGCTCAGTGCCTCCATTGTATTTCCTGAGCCATTAGAAAGACTTCCAGAGCCAAGACTGCCATTAAGTGCTGCCATGCCTGCATCAGTTACAAGAAGAAAAAAAGCTGTATGTTCACAGTGGTACAAACTTCAGTAGACTAAGAATCAGAAAAGAGGCCAAAAGACTGTCACTGTTCAAGATTCAAGAAAACTTTATTTGTCATATGCAAGTTGCCCTGCAGTGAAATGGGACCAACCCCCTCCCCCCGACCTTACATGCACAACACAGACATCACATGGGGAGACAGGTAGGGGACCGGTAGTATTACAGAAAAACACTGAAATACAAAACAATGGGAAAGTCCAAGAGGGAAAAAAAGAGACCTCTACTCATGCTGAGCTCCTGGGAGGACAGCATGAGAACAGGAAACAAAAAAACTCCTCTGCACAGAAAGCACATAAATGTCCACAGCACAACATTATAGAGCACGTGACCAGTAACAGGGGTGGGTGGGGGGTGAGGAGTAATCCCAAGCAAACACAGCAGCCATCCTGCCCTGCAGCTATTTTTCCAGCGCTGGGCCCAAACCCGCCGTGTTCTCTAGGAGGGAACAAGTGTCGAAGGCGTTTGGAAAGGGAGGGGGGATGAGTGTGTATCAGTGTATGTGTGTGTCCAGAGTTCAGCTGAGACAGTGTCCTTAGTGTCCTTTACTGTCCAAGTAAACAGTCTTCCAGCCAACCCAGGTGGCCTTGCAGAATGGGAAGAAACAGTCTAAGCACAGTCTGTTATCAGGGTGTTATTGTTCAGTTCCAGCCTTGAGACC